CCCCAGCTGCCTCTGAGCTGCTCCCTGGCACACAGGGACAGCGCAGGGAGGGGGACACAGATTGCAGAGAACCAGGCTGGGTTTGGCTCCAGGGTCTCAGTTGCTGTTCGTCAGCCAGACCTCGTTTATGGCCGCTTGCTGAGGGATATGGCACCACTACCCCTGCTCCTGCGGCACTTCCCACCCTGCTCCAGGCAGGAAGGACGAGCTCCCTTTGCACGGACCAGCCCAGGGCAGAAGAGGGACCGGGGCAGGGCCCAGCATTGTGCCAGAGGCAGCCAAAGCAATTCCCCAGGATCCCCCCATTCCCAGCTCCCAGCCAGGCTTGTGCCCCCTCTCCCCTCCTGTCCCGGAGGTGCAGGGAGCCGCAGAGGCGTCTTCCCAGCCTGGGAGGCGGTGGCGAAGGGGACGGCCGGGTACGCTCCAAGGCCTCCCCGTGCCGGGCGCAGCTAGAGCTACCAGGAAAGCAGCACGTCCATCACTCCTGGCCAAAGCCCTCCGTCTCCTCGATGGCGTAGAGCAGCTTCTCCTTGAGCTGCTCGTAGCTCTTGTAGGGCGGGAGATCCAGGCGGTTAAAGCTGGGGAGACAGGGAGGCCGTGAGCAGGGTCCTTGCTGGGACGGGGTCCCCCGGCAGGAACCCTGCACCGAGAAGCTCCGGCTGCCGGACGCTGCCCCGGGACGGCGGCCGCAGCCGCACTCACCACGTGTGGCTCCGCGGCAGCCACGTCTCCTTGCCGACCTTGTCAATGCAGAACTTCTGAGGGCCGTTGCTGCCTGCGGACGCAGAGCACGCGGAGCTCAGCGCAGGGCCGGGAGCGGGGAGGGCCCCGGCGCCTCCCACGGCCCCAACCCGCTCTCAGTACTAAAGCGGCTGCTCTGAGTCCCTCTGCAGGGAGAGGGCACCAAAAAAGGGGGAAAAGCTGAAAAATCCATTTACCACATACTGTGATAACAGAGCGTCTTTGGAGCGGGACATGAAACAGCGAGTGCTCAAATGTGTTATCTGCAGATCTGCAGTGCTGAGCAAGCCCGTCCAAGAGTTTCAGAACTGGCTCAGGAACTCTGAGTCACAGAGGTTGCTTTTTAACAAATTGTGAATGCTGGAGAAACTCCAGGGCCCTGGAAAAAAGCTGATGTGCCAATAAGAATAAACTGACAGGCTCGGCTCGTGGGTTAGCTTGACATCGATTCCAGGAAAACGATGGAAAGGCTGGTACAGAACCCAGGGAGAAGCAAATTACAGGACGGCAGCAGAGCAATGCCGTGCAGTGCGGTTTTCTGGAAAACGGGTTCCATCACACAAAAATCAGAATGGATCAAAATCCCATCTCATGCAAAAAGAAATGACAAAACGGGTTCACAACACTAACTGTGGGGACATAGGTCACGTCTGAGGAATTTCTCTTAATGCTGAAGAATACTCAACTAAATCCCTGCACGTCCCTGCCTGGGGCTCGGACTTCCCAGCTCCGCACTGGGGACAGCCTGGAGAGCCAGGGAGTGGGAATACCCACCGATGAGCTCCGCGAAGCCGCCCACGGGCAGGCGGCAGGTCCCCGTCACGAACTGCAGCAGCCGGATCCGCTTCTCATTGTCCATTTCTTTGACCACCTGCAACAGAGCACGGGACTGAAGGGGAATCTCCCCCTGCGGCCCTGAGCCCCCAGCCTGGCCACGTCGGGGACTTCGGCCCCCTTGTCCCGGGCAGGAGCCGCTGCCCGGTGCGAGCCGGGGCAGGGCCGGCCGCGCTCACCTGCCAGAACCACTGGATCTGCTTGCTGTTCTTGGTGTAGTGCCGGTAGATGGTGTTCTTCTGCCAGTCGCTCATGTCGATCTCCTGCATGCCGCACAGCATCAGCTGGGGACAGCAACAGCGGGTGACACAAGTGAAAAGTGACCCAGGGCCCGCGCTTGGGGCTGCGCCTGGTCCCCTGAGTCCTGGCCAGGGAAGCAGCGCTGCCCGCTCGGCCCCGCGCCGGCCGC